TACATACGGAATTAATACTCGCTTGTAAAATTATAAATTGAATTGAATAAATTGAATCATATTATATTCACTACCATTTCTGTCCCGCCATCTAGCGTTGAGTAGTATAATAATCTCTACACGTTCGGGCGTGTACGTTTCCTACTAAAGTTGCTTCTTACTAATGTTTAGACGAACACTGCTAGATGACGCTGTCTCATATGTCTGTTACTTTACTTGATGGTATACATTATGTACAATAGATGGCGCTTATAATAATATTTCAAATCTTGTTTTAAATGAACAATATTTTAAATGTCTTTTTATTGATTATGGTACTTAATTTTAAACTTTCTACGTATTAAATAACCATTTAATACAATAACGTTTTATATTGTATATGTAGGTACTTACGGTGTTATGTCGTTGGATATATTTACTATTAATATTATTACTATAAAAACTTAAGTCTAGGTCAGTCAGTTCATTGTGACAAATTTACCAGAAAGTTATCAAGATAGTTTCCAGGGAGACCTCGTGGAAATCAAACTGACATGGTAAATTGTTAGCAATTGTATCATTAATCCATATTACAAACTATTGGGATTTTATTTATGTAGAGGGCAAATAAGGAAACACCATTTTATTTGCAGTCGTCTTTTTATTATTATGATTTCTCTTTTTTATATACAATAATATATGTCAATATAACAAAGGAGTTTTATGTCCAACACAAACAATCTCCGTCCCCTGGGGTTTTCAATATTAAAAAACTAAAAGTGAATTTCAAAGTTTTCAGTTTATTATTACTTAATGAGTTTTTGCACTAATGAGTTGAACATACACGAAGTTATAGTAATAGAAATAGTAATGGGCTATATATTAGTAGATAGGATCAATCAATCAATCACTTTATTTTGTTGAATATACAGGGACAGCCAGTAAATTTAACATTTTTCTCTATATTCTGCCTATGCGTAGGCGTGCAAATTTAAATGTTATTTTATTACACATACATTATTTTATATTATATGATAATATCATAGATTTAATGTTATAATAATTTTTAGTTAGCAAAAATTCTCTCGTGGATGTTGTGGTTTAAAATCGATATAGGCAGGTATCTAGCAATAAATTACATTGCAGGCAAATGAAATTAGTCGACAGAATAAAATGACGAATAATATAATTTTAAGTACGTACATCTGTTATTCAAATTAAATAATAAACAAACATCAGTATTGGATTAATTATTCATTAATTGACAAATCGTGTGCTGACCGCACGCGCGTTGATTCCGCACAGTCATTGCGACTATCACAAAGACAATCTCCGAATCGAATCACCCGAGCCAAATAATCGAATAATAATCGAATAGTCCGATTGTTCTGAACGTTGACTCTGTGGGTGGTCAATCGATGGCTGGATGCGATTACTAAATGGGTAATTACATGTCATGTTTTATGATTCAATAGTTCAGATAGAAATATTAGATCTGTTAATTCTACGAATTCAGACTTGTCTTCAACCTTTCTGTACCTACGTATCTGGTGTCGCTATGTACCTATTCCTACATCACAATTATAATGAAGTCTGACTACTATAAGATCAAACGAACTTCTTGAAGTGAAGTTCGATCGATATTATATGAGTTGCTTCATTCGAAGATATTATTATTTACTATGTAGTCTCTTTAATCCTACATGGTAGCATCGCACAATTTAAAAAGTTTCTAATTTGACTATTGACCGCACAATAAAGTCGTTACGTATCACGTGACTGTTTTAAAAGTTTCCCCTTCCAAAGGCTACCTCGATAGCTAGTTTCGACTGCAGACCTCATTCTTTTTAGAGTACCTAATTCTGGCAAAACTTATAGGGATACAGTAATCTATTAGTCCATAAGGGGGGGTGGGAATTTTATATCTTCGAATGAAGCAACTCATATAATATCGATCGAACTTCACTTCAAGAAGTTCGTTTGATCTTATATTATATTACGTTGCTTCATTTCTCAGATATTATTATTTACTATGTAGATGTTGAGAGTTTAAGCACGAAGTTTTGCTAAATAATACACAATGTTCATCTTCAAACAAAATATAATTATATTTCAAAGAAAATATACATTATAAATAATTTTATATAATAATAAATCATACATTTAATTTTTATTCAATCATAAAATCTAAAATATATATATTTACGCCGTTCTCACAGGCAATATTGCATTCGCAAAATTGCTTACATGGCCTATAGGACGATTATAAAATTTTGCAAATGCTTGAGACTGGGGTGTCCAGCCGGCCGTCCTGCGTATCGTGTCCAAGACCTGCGGCTCGGGCCGCGGATGTGGCGGCGTGACGTGTGCTATGTGCACTGAACGTCGTTACGTCTACCCCACTCTCACGCATTATGTCCTTGATCCAGCGACTTATTGACTGCGCTGAAGCTGCTTTATGAGGTCGCTTGATTGTCAATATAAGGGAATCAACATTCTCGGGCCTAATCTGATTTGTAAGGAATAAATAATCATTTAAAGTTTGAGCGGGACATATACTACGACGGTCAACAAAATAAGGCAGTAATAGTATGGGTTGTTCTCTACCTGCAGCAGATGTTTTGATGATGTCTGGAATACGAATTTGTATTTGATTGTCCTCTATTTTAATATTACTGGTTTTAATTAGCGATAGTGTCTGTACACGATGCGCTGTACATAAAGCGAGTAAAATTACTAACTTTTTTGTAATTTTATTTAAAGTTAGGTCTCTGTTTGGATACCAATATGAAATATAATTGAATACAATTTGTGTATCCCAAGTAAAACTGTATTTTGGCAAACTGGGTCTTAGTTTATATACTCCCTTTAGTAGACGACTAATTTGCTCATTGGAGCCTAAGTTATTACCAATTAAAAGTGAAAGTGCAGAGCGATGACTATTTAAACTACCGTAACTAGCTCCTTTATGAAATTGTTCAATAAGAAATGATAATATTGATGGTACGGAACTTTCAAAAATGCAATTACCACTCTTAAGGCAATAATTCCACCATAATTTGAATGTAACATTATATTGTAGCTTGGTTTTATTAGATAAGGAAGACGTCATTATATTTATTGCCTCGGCAGGGACATTTCTCTTGGTAAACGCGAGCCGGAGAGCTTCGCTGCAGCCAGGGTAATCTTGTGACGTTGCGTATGATGTTCCCTGTGAAGAGGTAAAATGTCGTGAAATAAAAGTATCTCAGATATGACGAGACTTTTTAATAAGGGAAACCAAGGTTGAGAAGGCCAGTATGGAAATACTAATATACCTGTGGCTTTATCGTCAACGACCTTTTGTAAACATTTCAAAATTAATGAGAAAGGTGGAAATGCATAAAAATGGTAATTGCTCCATATGAGAGTGAAGGCGTCTATAGCCATAGCGTCCGGGTCTCGTTTCCATGAAACATAACGTTCACATTTGGCATTAGTGCGAGAAGCAAATAGATCTATATTTGGTTGACCAAAACTATGCACTAAATTGTTAAAAACCGAGATAGGTAATTCCCATTCAATATCTGGGTTATGTTTCCTGGATTCTTCATCGGCTTCAATATTTTCTTTAGTATTAATATAAGAAGCGAACAGCCATATACTCCGCCTCTCGCACCATTGCCAAATCGTTTTAGTTAATTCGTTCAAGTGTGGGAATTGAATTCCACCCATACGATTAATATAACTAATAGCTGTTGTGTTATCGATACGTAATAATATAGTACACTGATATTTATTATATGCAAAACATTTTAATCCCATAAATACTGCAAGTAATTCCAAATAATTTATATGAAATTTAGATTCACTACGTTTCCATCTACCATTAGCGCGTTTTCCTTCACAAAATACACCCCATCCGGTTCGTGATGCGTCTGTAAATATCTCCAAATGAAAATAATTATTTTTTAGAGGGGACGCGGTAGAAAATATATTTTGTTTCCACCATTCTAAATCGCCTATGATATCTTTCGTGAGTTTAATTTTCACATCATAATTGTTATATTTTTGAAGTGCCAAATACTTTAATCTTTCAAAAGATTTAGTATATAACCATCCATATTTAACTGCGGGACAAGCGGAAGTTAGAGTTCCAATAAATTGAGCAAATTGTCTAATAGTGCAGGATGGTAATCGTAAATATTTATTTACCATTTGTACTATATTATTTCGTTTTTCGATTGGTAAAGACATAGATAAATTTACCGTATCAAATACGAAGCCCAAAAACTTACATTTTTGTTGCGGTATTAAGTTACTTTTATCGAAATTTATTATAAAACCCAAACATTGAAGAAGTTTAAGAGTTTCGTTCACATTTTCAACACATTTTTCGTAAGTATCACCAATGCACAGACAATCATCAAGGTATATCACAGAAATAAAACCGCGAAGTCTCAAATACCCTACAACTTCCCGCATAATTTTTGTAAACGTTCTCGGCGCAACAGATAGACCATACGGCATACCCACAAATTCATACATATGCGTTATAGAATTTTTATCCACGAACTGAAACCGCAAGTATTTACGATGATCTTTCGCTATAGGTACAAGTAAATATGATTCTTTTAAATCAATGGAGGCTAAAAATGAATTTTTTGTAATTAAACGAGAAGCAGTTCTATAATCTTCCATTTTAAAATGGGTTTGTTTTAAAAATCTATTAAAAGATTTTAAGTTTAATATAAATCTTTTGTCGCCGTTTGGTTTTGGCGTCAAAAATGTTTTTGAAAGAAATTGGTTCTGGGAGTGGATACATGGTGTTATTGCACCTAGTTTTAATAATTTATTAATAGCTACTTGCATGTCATGCGTTTCGTTAGAGGAAAGGTGACGAGTAGGTCTTAAAACCTGTCTAACTGGTTTACAAAATGGTAAATATATTCCTTCATGGATCCACTTTAGAACAACAAGATTATTTGTAATCTTAACCCAGCAATTATAAAAATAGTGAAGTCTGCCTGCGTGTACCTGTATTAACGGCGTGTTGTGACACGTTGTCTCGTCAATGTCGTTCGTCTCGATGTTTGTGGAGCTGGAGCAGGTGCTGGAATTATGGACCTGCGTCCCGTTGTTGATGGAAGTCTCTGCCCTCCTCGCCCCCCCCTGTTCGACGGATAGCGAGAAGGGCTTTGCCAGTTTCCCGGAAATCGCGAGCGTATCGTTGATTGGCTATTGTGGCTAGTAGAGGCTTTCGGATGATCCCCATGCTTCTTAATTTGAAGACCTTGTCTTTCTATTGTTTTTGCAGCTTTAATTTTTTCCGACAGATTCTCTCCGAATAATGTTTCATCTCTTTCCTCCTTTTCTATAATATTGACAAAGGTCTTATCTAAACTACCACATAATAATTTCGTTCTTGTTTCTGTCTCGGTGAAGTGCAAATCGGATAAAATACGGCAACTATCTGATAATATTTTTATTGCTTTAACTTTATCATCTGATTTCAGTAAAACTGTCATGGCTTTATTAATTGCAGTAATGCCTAGGCCCAGCTGCTGTTGTTTTATTTCCAGTTTTTTGTCTCTACCCCGGTTAGATTCCGCAACTGCCGCTGAAATTTCTAGATTTAACATTGGTGCTCTTAATAATTTGCAGTTTTCGGGTATTAAATATTCTTTAGTTAAGGTATCCTTAATCTCTTTGGTCAGACCTTTGCGTAATATAGGCAGCCATCTTTGTGCTAAGTCTTGGTGAATTTTTTCCCCATATTTTGGTTTTTCAACACCAGGATCACCCAAGGCACTTAAAAATTCAGGGTCCAGCGTCTCTTCTTCCATCTGCTCTTGCTGCACTTGTGGGTCTTCATGTGGTATTATTTCGGATTGCTGCACTTGTGGTACCTGATGCTTAATACATTCAGGTTGTTGCACCTCCTGGACTACAGTTTGCAGTCGTAAATCGTCTTCATTTTGCCACGACGCCGTAGCTACAGAATCGTTCTGCTCGCCATCTGCAATAAAATTTCAGTATTATAAATTTCATCCTCCGTGCCGACATAGTAGTTAGCATCCGGGAAAAAATACAAGCCTTTGTGTTAGTACTACTAACATCCTGGCATGTGGCGTACTGATAACTTACCGTATATGAATTCTTCGTCGGAGGCTTCCGAGTAAGTCACCACGTGTATTCGATTTTTCGACTCTAATTTTTTAATTTTATTTTGGTAGTGTTCAATTTTTTCTTCAGCACTCCGTTTTTTCGGCATATCGCTCTGGAACGTGTGATTGCTACCACGCACGAAAAAAGAATGAGGTCTGCAGTCGAAACTAGCTATCGAGGTAGCCTTTGGAAGGGGAAACTTTTAAAACAGTCACGTGATACGTAACGACTTTATTGTGCTGTCAATAGTCAAATTAGAAACTTTTTAAATTGTGCGCTACAATAGTGATGTTCCACAATCGATCGACTTAGAAGTTTAGTCATGATTTTAGTCCTGCCAATAACAAAAAAAATATATAACAACAGTATTTTATGTAATATTTAATTACATGTTTTCAGTTTAATTTCCGTAAATTACATATTTATGTTAATATAAAGCCAATTTGATATTAATAAAAAAATTTAATGTATGTACAAATAAATAAATGAATGTAATCTAGACTAACTTTTAATTCTCGATTTAAAAATCTCGATTTTCCACATGACTATTTATTTGGGACCCTATTTTTTTAAAACTGTGCAACACTGGAAATGTCATTTTACTGATGGATGAATACAAGCTATATGTTTTATTATATTTGAATTAATAATTAAAAAGTTAATAAAACTATCTAATAATCTTCTTATTATAATCTGTGTTTATCTCACCTTTACCTGTGTGCCACAGTTAAAAATAATAATTATTAAAAAACTGTTCCATTTTCTCTATGGTAAAAAAATATAATGGTAAATTAAAGATAAAATGTCATGTCTTGAGGTTTGACATAAACTTGAGCTTATGCTTGTTGCAACAGCGCATTGAAATATCAAAGTTTGTGATATTGAAACATGACAATATTGACTAAAGTTCTCAGGTTACCTAATCAATATCCACTGCTGCGTGGTATGGTATCTTACGCCATAATCTGGCCAACATGCAGCATAGTACAGGAATACATAATCAATGGGACCACCATAGGTCACGCAGATTGGTCCAGAGCGGCTCGTTACAGTGTTTTTGGTACGTTTTTCATGGCACCTGTATTTTATGGTTGGATGAAATACACAAGTAGATTCTTCAGAAAGAAAAACTTGAAGACAGCGTTTACTAGAGCTGTTATAGAGCAAGTTTCATATTCCCCTTTAGCGATGGCTTATTTCTTCTTTGGAATGAGTGCACTTGAAATGAAGCCTCTAAATTCTTGTATAAATGAAGTGAGAGAGAAATTTTGGTCAACTTACAAGTTAGGGGTAATCTTCTGGCCGGCAGCGCAGACTATAAACTTCTATTTTGTATCGGAGAAGAATAGAATTGTGTTTGTAAGTGCAGCTAGTTTTGTTTGGACAGTATATTTGGCGCATGTGAAGGCTAAAGATCAGAGTGATATTGAACTGAAAGTTATGGATGCCAAGAAAATTTGACATTTTTATATGAGGTCGGTCTTTTGTGTCTTAATTAAGTGAGATATTTCTAATTTAAATTAATTTACTATAATACAAATTATAGTAAATTAATTTGAATCATACAAATTTTAATTAAATATTTTAATTAAAATTTGTTAAGTTTCATATGACTGCAGTGCCTGTGATTTTAGAAGACAATAGAACTTTATTAATGTTCAACTTATAATTTAAATTAATTATGGTCGAATTTCAACCACTTGTACCTGTTAATACTGTACCTATTAATAAATATGCGCTTAGTCAAGTAGCGGCTAACGTTTCAACATGTAGCTCCTTATTTAGCTAAGTATATATCATAACTTCTTTAGTTTAAACCGGAATTACCCAGGTGGTTTGTTTTTGTAAATCTGTTTACCCCCAAGATATCTTTAGGTGCAATTGTATACATCTATATAGTCATGAGAGATTATTCAATAGGTGGTAAAGTGAACACTCGAATAAACCTTTAAAGGCTATAATCGATTCTACGGCTTTCTATCCGATTTGAACTTGTATCCCTTCGACTAATGGTTTCATTCAGTATGAATTATTACAAAAAACCACTCCGACCGATTCAAGATTTTTTTATATCGAGCAAAAAAACTGGACAATGTTATTAGAATTAATAATGGGAATGGATTTTTATGAGGAAATATTTTTATTGACGTCATTAATCATGTTTTGTCAACGCCGAGGTTCAATGATTCAAATATTCGAGCTTCGAACTTGGACTTTTTTTGAGCTTCGAAACTTTTTTGTTTAGTAAATTATGAGCATATTGTTATTTATAAGTTATGTAACTATTTCATATGTTTATATCTACATTAACTCTATGGATAGTTAATAAATTTAACGATTTACTTATCAAAAAGGCACTTGCAATTTTAAGAGCATAAATAACACAGAACCGTTAGATGTGATATGTTTTTATTTTACTACTTTTAGAAAATACTAATTTAAAGAGAACTATTCAGTTCAGTTTTTTTGTCAATAATTTCCAATTGAATCTGTGTGTTTAGTACCACACCATGGTTCGGTAGTACGGTTATAAAATGGAATAAAATCTTTGATGTGCATAAGCTATATATCTATCGAATTATTGTTCTATAATTTGATTTTGAGTGTTCTAATGTTTTGTTGTTTTAAAACACTCCTATAATAAGTAATGCATTCTACGTCGTGACACACTGATAGCGATATAAATCTATCTAGAATCGAATTACTTTCTAATTTAACTTCAGAATGTATCATGAACATTATTTGTCACAGGAATTTAAGTGTTTAACGCCCGAAATTAATATTCAATCCTAATCCATTTTTAGCAATCTAAGATTGAAATTTCAATCTATTTTTGTAAAACGCGTGCCAATAATCTATCTATGGATTGACATTGCAATCTTTCAATGCAGTCTATCTTTAGGAGGACGGATCGCAATCCTTGGATTGACATTTGTATGAAAGTGACGTTTGTGGCGTATTAATAACCAATCTGTGCGTTTTGACGTTTCTATCGATCGAAGTAAACAATCTAAATTTGCTATCCTAGAAATACTTGGGATTGCTACTTGTGTGTACAGATTGAATTCATAGATTTTTACCAAAATGTCTTTTGAAATGTCGTCTAGTGATAGTGACAGTGATTTGGAACATTTAATTCAGTTATCCGACTGGGATACTAATTCTAGTGACGATGATAGTGACAGACAACGCGTTAGTTCACGGAAAATAAGAAGGGTTAATTACATGCAGACGCTAGATGATGCAGAGTTCACCTTCAGGTTTCGACTTACAAAACCTGCCTTCCAATTGTTATTGACTGAATTAATGCCCTTTGTTCGGGTAACCTCAAAAAAGTAAGTAAAATATATCAATACTATTGCCTCGTGCCGCTTTTAAAATAACATTAGTAAGATGTAACATATCCACAATCAACTATTTTTTTGCAGAAATTATGGCGTGTCTCCTCTACATCAACTTCTCTTGACACTCCGGTTTTATGCTCTCGGCACTATGTTAATTTCTGTGGCAGACTTTGTTGGAGTCTCAAAATCGACTGCTGGTAGAATCATGAGAGACATGTCAAGAGCCATAGCCCGATTGTATGACAAGTATATTTTTGTACATCAGGAAGGTGCAGAAAATTTTTATAGGATTGCTGGCTTTCCTCGTGTCCTGGGTGCAATTGACTGTACACACATTCGCATACAATCTCCATGTTTGTATTAAAAGATGTTTAATATGTTATTAACTGTTCCTTTGAGATACATGCTATTTCTTTTCTTTACATACTTTCACATACAATCTCCATCTTTGTATTAGAACATGTTTAATATGTTATTAATTTATTCCTTTGAGATAAATACTATTTATTTTCTTTTAAGGTCAAACAATAGGTGAAGAGTTCAGGAATCGTAAAGGTTACTTTTCTTTAAATGTTCAAGCTGTTTGTGATGCTGAACTGAGGTTGATGAATGTTGTAGCTCGTTGGCCAGGTTCCACTCATGATGCAACAATATTCAATAATTCTATACTGAGAGGTAACAGGTTTTTCTAAATTATACTATTTTTATAAAATTGATTTTGTTTTTGAGATCCTAATAATAATTATTATCAATCTTTATAGCTCAATGTGATGCTGGTGATTTTGGAAACAGATGGTTGCTTGGTGACAGTGCTTATCCAAACAGATCATATTTGTTGACTCCACTATTAAACCCAGTTACAGAAGCAGAGATTCGTTACAATGAATCACATATTAAAACTAGGAATACTATTGAACGGTAATGAACTAACCAGTAACATATTTTATATACATTGGTAGAAATATGGCTTTTAATTAAAATATTTTATTACAGCACATTTGGAGTTTGGAAACGCCGCTTCCCAGTGGTAGCACTGACATTAAGAGTGTCAATATCAAATGTGCACGCTATAATAGTAGCTACAGCAGTTTTGCACAACATGTGTAGAAACCTGAACCTACAAGAAATCCCACCAGAAGTTGAGCTGCCACCTGCTGACAATATAGAAAACAGTGGTGCACAAAACATGATTATGCTAGACATGCAACATCGAACAGATCTTATAAATAATTATTTTACAATTTAAGAGAACAGATGAAGACTAGTAATTAGAATATTGTAATAATTTTATTAAGTAAGTTACTGTTAATATATATGTGTAATTTTTTTTTTTTGATTAGCAACACCAACGACAGTTGTCATTTTCAGCTGGCCGTAATAAATAAATAATTTTTAATAGTCTATCGCACGAATATTATATTTTCAACATCGTTATTAGTGATATAATAGTGCAATAAGTGTTGATTATTGTTTGTGTACAATTTGGTAGTGTATTATTTGCAAAAATCGACATCAAAATAGTGTACCGGCCATAGAATTAGTGCTAATTGGTGGTTTGTATTCACACACTTAAACTTAAAAATGTAAAGTAATAATAAAATTATTTAAAAGAGCAACACGCAAGTTTCTTGCTCGTTCTTCTTGTGATGAGACAGCTTTCCGAACGAGCGGTAGATTAAAAAATGTAATGACTATTCAAAAGTGCTTCAATGTAAGTTTATCTGAATAAAATTTTCTAATGATTTTCTATTCTATTCTTTTTCTATTCTACTGTTGAGATTTGATTAATATCATAATAGTATTTATATATAAGGACAAATTTAAAATAGCTGTGCTATATTGTAAAAAATATTTAATATTATGCCTTTTCTACCAACCTTTATGATGTACAGAAATAACAGAAAAAACAATAGTTTGGGAAACATGTAATGTTATAGAAAATAAAAAGAAAGTGTAATTTAAAAACTATTTTTATTAAAAACCTATACTTAAAATCACTACAAGCAATTAAATTAGCCAGTTAAACCTATATCTTACAAAGTTCCTAATTATTTAAAAAGAGTACATTAATTACAATAAAAATTAAAAAGATATTGTGAAATTAATTAATTACAACTAATGATTAAGTCTAACTAATGTTTAAGTCCTATTTCTTTAAATTAGCAATTTCTAATTTTAATTTTTCATTTTCTAATTTGTAATATTCAGTTTCTAATCTGTTATTTTCTAATTCTGGTTTTACTTTTTCATATTCTAATTTTAATTTTTCATATTCTAATTTTAATTTTTCATATTCTAATTTTAATTTTTCATTTGCTATTGTACTATTGGTTAATTTCTCCTCTATCAACTTTTTTTTTTAACTGTGAAGTATTCTGCAATTGCCGTATTTCTTGCAGATCTATTGCTATCTCCTTGTATTTGCCTTTTCCCTGAAAATACACAAAATAATTAATGAATAATATTAATGATTATTTTCTCTAGTACATTCCATAAAGAACTTTATATTCATAAAACCCACCACCTATAATAATATCAAAAGACAGCATTATTACTATATTAATTGTATTTGTTCCATAACATTAAAGTTAAACAATACCACAGTGCAAAACATAAAATATAGTATAGGGGATTGTATTATTGTGTACACAATTTGTAATCATATGAAATGCAAACAGATCCTGTTATCAATGGAAAGCCTGCCATGTTGCCAAAGGACTGAATACTATAAGATACGATTATATAGAATTATTTAAAATAAAAAAATCATTACCAGCCCTTCTAGGAGTCTGAAAAGAATTAAATGTAAATGGCTTTGGTCTCTCTGGAGTTGGCAGCATGACCGGGGCACCAGAGACAGCTATATCCTCAGACAAGGATACAACTGTAACTATTTCATCAGGCAAGATCAACATATCCCGACCCTCACTATCGCTAGCACCAACAATACCATCACCAACACCACCACTAACACCATCACCAACACCACCACCAACTCCATCACCAACACAGATACCATCACCAATATCTTCCTTGTCGCCTCCAAAGGGTACTGTGAACCCGCTAACTGTACTCCCCAGGACACTAGCGACACGGTCCAATATATCATCTGGGGGTATGTAATCAGGAGCACCTCCACCAGTCTGCAAAATAAAATTTATGTAAACAAAAACACCACTACAATGTATGTAAAAAGTTATATGTATGTGAAATATTTATTTATATTAGAAAACATAGTATGTACCTGTATGTTGTTCATTCTTATTTTCGTTGCTCGTTTACGGGAGTTTTTTTTAAGGTTTTCCCATTTCAACCTAAGCTGCTGAGGCGTTCTGCGACAAGTTGTAGCCGTTGCGTTGAATTGTTCCGTTATTTTGGTCCACTCCTCTATTTTTAATTTGTTGTTGGTGGTGTTGGTACATTTAGTAGTTATAATGCGACTATTTTCAATAAGTTGCAGCAAAGCCTTAGTTTCATCTTTAGATAATGGTTTGCCCTTCGCCTATAATTGTTAAATTCATGTTAGTTTGTTTTTACAAAATTAGCGGGAAATTGTAAGCGTCATTAAAAAAACTCACGCTACGCAGCATTACATGTGCGCACGCATCAATTTAGTTACAATACGTAAAATAAAAACGATTTGACTTACCATTACTGTATCCATGTTAATTTAATTCAGAAAATCAAAAATAATAACAATTAAATATTGAGAGTCGGTACTGTAACAGACTGTAACTGGAAATAGTTTGCACTGCTGTCAAATATCAATCGTAGTCAAAGTATAAATCACGATACGTTTCACACGAACCAATAAATGATTAAACACAAAAATGGTGAATTGAAATTTTGTAATTAACATAACAAATAATAAACACAGTATTTTATTATATGTAATATATTAACATTACATTGTATATTAATATCAAATTATATACTTCGAAATTCTAAATACAGAAATGTGAGTAGCGGCATACATTTTGCGTAACACAGAACGGCGGGAGGGAACGGTCGATCCAAGGATCGATGCCTATCGAGTGTCAAAAAAAATAGAGTTGTCATTTTGGGACGCAGATTGGAGATCGATCTGGAGATAGGGATCAATCTAAGATTGGTAGCGATCTTGGATTGTGGATACGTTATTAATTTCGGGCGTTAGCGACCGACTTTGTGATCTCTTTCTTCAGCTTATTCACTTTTTATATATTTTTTATTTTGGTACAATTATTTATGAGTTTGTGATAGTCATTGTTTTTGTTGGTTCGTTACTGAAATTGTCCGTATGTGTAGTTTCAGTAAGACTGCGTGTGTTTAATTTGATCGATCCGTTACAATATGCATGAAAATTTATTAAAGTAAAATTGCAATGTTACGTGATTTTTTTAAGAATAATAAACAGTGCATCAGACTGCAGGCACTAAAGTTGACGGGATACTAGTGAGGGATAATAGGATAAGTATGAAATTAGATCAGCGTATAGTGGGGAATACACCAGAAATAAACCAAGATGTTGTATTGCTAGCAATGAGTCTATTACTTCTCGTTACTTACAATCTCTCCCTTGAAGTAACTAATTATAGTTACATAGATGTTGCATGATAAAAGAGAAATAGTGAGCTCAAATATTTTGGGCAATTAGTGACCAGTGATTGAGATGAAGCAATGACGATAATGATGAAAAGTTATTGTAACATTATGAATGTGTAAAAATAACACGTCAAATACTTACATCAGACTCCATAATCCAGGTAACAATAGTTCCTGCATTAAAAAGGCTCTAAATGCAGGAACTACAACGACACGAACGACAAATTACATTGTAAGTAGGTATCGCTAGCAAGTAATTACATACTGAATTAAATAATGTACAAATTGAAGTTACGCTTCAGAAATAAGCAACATCGTAGAACATAATAGGAAAAATATTTTTATAAAAAAGTTTGACTTCCCTTTTCCATTCCCTTCCCTGATTGCAGTTAACTCATCTACGGTATTGAATCACCTTAAACGGTTCTCTTAACCATAAATAAGACTATTGACAAAATGGCGCTAAATTGAATATCGCAACCAATTAAAGACACTAGGCTCGATATATAATTAATTAAAATTGTAAAATCATTCGCATGCAAATGAATCGACTGATTCATTGCTACTCTCATACGCGTTATCCGAGCCAGATAACATTTATTGAGTCCAATGTATAGCAAATAACAAACATCCGGTCTCATTCTGTCTCAATTCAACAGAGCTTGCATTAAAATTCGCTTGAGAAACACAACGATTAATTAGCTTGATAACTGCGTTGTACCGACGGCTACCGTCCCCTGGTTTTGGGTACAAAAGAGCCGAAACGGGTCCTTTTCACTTAACGATCTCGCGTCTTACGAGGCTACCTAAAAAATAAATGAAAAAAAAACAACTTTGTACCTGACCCTTGCTGAGATATTTGCTGAGATGTTTTTACCGCAAGAGTGTTGTGATATTTTCCATCTGATTTAAATGCGTAGATTTAATCAATATGAAGAAGAATATTGATATATAATAATTATACTTATAATAGTTACCAGGTATTGCTAGGCGTGTGTAGAAGCGTCGATCACCGTTTGTTTCTTTTAACTAATTTAACGTAGTAACCTCATCAGAATATTATCTTCTCTGTGCCCGTCAGGTACCTGACGAGGTTTAAATACCTTTCTTTTATAAAAATTTTGAAATTCAGGGTTTTCGTACTCTGAATTTCAATGCATGATGGATGTTAGAAGTAATTAAATTAGCTGTCAGTTTATTAATTATAACATTGTTATAAACTATATAAATACATAAGATAAACGCGACTAAAATTCTACTATTGGCGGTATTATCAACTCTACGTTCATCTACTAGTGAACTATTTCACGCTACTTCATAGAGGTCTATATTTTGTTAGAGATAAAACTGACCAAAATCACATGACATAAAGTGACTTTTTTCGGATTACTACTTCAAATGCCTCACAAAGTCCCTTTCTTCACCTGCCGTGCAACATTATTTATTGTTATTCGATGAAAAAAAAAAAGATCGGCAAAGGTACGGGTTACACTGTAATTGATTTAATTTCTGAAGTTACATAATTACTGTGAAATATGGTTGTCGACGGCAGTTTTTTTTCGCTTATCTCAACGAGATATCTATGGTTGTTCGTTGACAGTTTAAACTTTTTGTGAAATTAAAAAAATATGATCCCTTTTATGGCAGGCCAGTTTATGACTTTTTATAATTTTGTGAAAACAATATTGTTGAACAGATTCATTAGTAATAATAATACTAATGATGGACACACACACAGTGCCAGCTACTCCTAAGCTAAGCAGAGCTTGTGTGATGAGTACTAGACGACTGATATAAATACTTCAATTTGTTTTTGTAAATACATGCATACATAGTATACATAGAAAAATCCCAGACCAATACAAACTATCATATTCATGAATACAAATGTTTGTATTCTTATTGTATTATATTGGTCTGGGTGTTTTGTATACATATTATTATTATTAAAATATTTAAGTATTTATATCAATTGTCTAGTTTCCATAACACAAGTTCTGCTTACCTTGGGACTCGATGATGTATGAATTGTCCAGGAGGTATCATTATTATTATTATATATGGCTATAGTAGGACCAGTCAAGAAACTGGTCAGTGATTGATCATTTCAATTCACTTGATTCACATACGACTGATGGACACGCAGTCTGCCTGTGCGAATCGTACCTATATATAAATTAATGTAACTAAATGATGACGAAACAATAATACAGGCAATTACGAAATCCTTTAACGGCAAAGACGTGCTAAAAATATACTTACCTACATTTTTATGTTTATAGTAATTAAAGATTAGTTACTTGTAATTAAGTTGTATTTCTTCCTTTAATGTGAATGTAAGTTGATTGACACCATTGGTATTTTTACGAGATTCTCAACTTTAAAAGAGTTTTATAAACAAATAATACTTAACGTGTCCACATATATTTAGTATCTATACATATAATATTATCTTCATTACCGGACAGTAAATAAACACCGTCATACTGCGGCCAGTCCCTTTAATCAGGTACAAAATCCCAAATTTAGCAACAATTAAAATTAGTAACGCTAAAACTGGATTTTAAACGATGCAATCATTTCGATAGCATCGCCTTTTACATTAATTTGGAGGGAACCGCAATGAAATAATCATAATCGATTTGAAATATATTTAAAAATCTCGACTTGACTCGTTTTGAGGCGATTACGGAAATGTGAGATTTCTGACGATTTCAAACAATTAAAAAAATGTGCTCAGAATAAGTGTTGGTTGCTAAGTGTTTTTGTTTTATTTACGTTAACTTTATCAATCTTATATTATAAAAAAATTCATGGCACAAAGTTAGTTACAATACTCCGCCGAAACAGCTTGACCGATTTTTATGAAATTTTATATACATATGCAGTAGGTCTGAGAATCGGCTACTATCTATTTTTTATACTCCTCAGTGATAAAGGTTGTCCACCCTTAATATTTTTTTTTTTAATTTCTCTAGTCTCTGGTTTAGATAGTCTTATATAAATGTCACAGTTTTCGTCTGTCTACCGGCAGGATAGTATTTCTGTATAAATACATATGGTTAAAATACCACATCACAAATAGGTACTGTACCTACTATCAATGCGAATCTGAGGGCAGTAGCTAGATTTAATAGGACATAATATTTTATGATCCAATTTAAATCAATACTATTATTAGACATGTTCCACGAAGTTCTTCCAAAGTCATAAAAAATACTACCTAGCTCCTAACTCTTGATTCCGGAAACATAATAGAAGCTATGCTAATTAAAATGTTATTCGGTAAAACTAGACAATTTTATTTTATATCTCAGGTGGGCGGAACCTCATAGCAGGGACCCATTTGATGAAGATACCTGACAAATTCATTGTTTCAGAACAAAAAATAGACAAAAACTAATAATTCAATATTGAACTCTATGGACGTAGACCATAAAGTTGCATATAACAAATTTATGAAACCCAAACAAAATTAGTGAATTTAATAAGTCATAATTTTTGTTGGCCCTTCGTTTTGGGTTTGACGTAGGATATAATTAAAAATAAAAATTATTGTGATTGGTTTTGGCAAATTGCAAATTGGTCCTTTTAAAAACGTCGAAAATGATGTTCGGTGTGCTTTTTTGGTAAAACTTTTGTATTTAAATTGAGAATTGGGGCATTGAGGCGGACATTAAGAACGAATGAAATTAAAGAAGCGGCTATAATCAAGTAAGCATGATTGCTACAAATAACTATATTAAAATTTTCGATGCAAAAATGTTTTCGACCGACTCTAGACAAAGCAGTTAGTTCAATTTAAGTGATTTTTTTAATGTATTTTGTATGTTATATTTTATTTTCGTCGATATGGATACCGATACCGATTCTCGTGATTCAAGTAGTTGGTACTATTCACAGGACTCATTGTTATACAAGTACAATGAGATACACTGGCAGTTTAATATATTCTTTAATTTCATCAATAAGTGATACAAGGAAATTAATGATATCAAAATAGAATTGTACATAGTTTTTTAAGTTATTACCTAAACACGTTACAAATATACAAAATGAATATTTATAAATCAAAATCGTCAATTGTAATCATGACCACGGGAACTTGGCTAACTGTCCTTTTTGTACAAATACGTAAAAAAGAATATCTATATACGAA